TATATATATATAGAGAGAGAGAGAGAGAGAGAGAGAGAGAGAGAGAGAGTCAGTGGGAAAGATATAAACAAATTTTGCAATTCAGATTCAGGATTATGAGTGAAGTTTTGTGGAACTTAAAAAAGTGTGATAATTTTATTCACTGAGGGATAAGATGTTCCACACCACTTACTATGGTTATAAAAACCAAAGAGAAAGCAATGCTAGGGAATATATTGTCCAGAGGGAAACAGTCATAGTATACATCAGAAACTGGGTTTAATAAAAGTTGAACCCTTAGTCATACATGTAAAGCAACACATTTGGAATTTTATATTGAAAGACTTAAATTTTTAAAATGTGAACACTAACTGGCCTTTGTTGACTCTGACAACACACGTTGGTTCTCCGAGAAATAGCCTGCAATAAAGACAAGTGACTAAATTATCAGTCCTCGAGTCCACTTGTGTGTGACATTTCATTTAGGCTAAGTCTGGCTGGCCTGATCTTCTCACACTGTGATCCATAATGACTTGGGATTCAACATTTACAGTTTCCCTGTTTCTGAAGTTTAGAATGGGCATACATTTTTCTATTAAAAAAATTCAAAAGTAAATCATAAGCCGCAACTACTTTGAAGAAAATAAAACTAATCTATTTCCCGTTGAATTAATGATGGCAGGCCATGATTGGTATCAGGGATAGGACTCTTCAGGAGGTTGGCTTTGATATTCTCGACATCCTGAAAGCCCTAATGGCAGGAATTTTCACCTCAGGAAGTGGTGGTGATGGATGGGAAGGTATTAGAGTCTCACAATGTCTTCATTTTAAAAGCCCTGTTTCGGAGGCACAGTTCTTCAGCTACAGGATTGCTGGGGTTCTGACTTATTTTTAAATTCCCAAGTGCCAGAAACTTTGTTTTCAGGCCAAAACTGCATTGCTTCTTTTCAGAGTTTAAAACGAGATGCAAAAGTTGCCTTCATGTAGCTTGCATGCTTAACTCTCTTTTTCACCATGACCTCACAAAGGCCAGAGGCACTTTTATATTGACTCCCATATGCATTAATTTATAAGTATTTCCCCAAATACCAGAGTTTCTTATCTTTAAGAAATTCATTTTATCAAAGGCATTTCCCTCATATAGAGTGCTATTGACCTATCCTGTGCATACAGAAATGGTCATTGGCGAACTCCAAGACCATCCCTGACAATCATGTAAAATTCCTAAGCATTGTAGCCTCAACTCTGAGATTCCATCTTACACTTGTAAAAATGGCCAAGATCAAAAACACTGATGACAACTTCTGCTGGAGAGGTTGTGGGGAAAAGGGAACACTTCTGCATTGTTGGTGGGAATGCAAGCTGGTACAGCTCCTTTAAATGTCAGAAAATTACTCAAAAAATTAGGAAACAATCTTCCTCAAGACCCAGTAATACCACTTTTGGGTATATATCCAAAGGGTGCTCAATCATGCCACAAGGACATGTGTTCAACTATGTTTCTAGCAGCATTGTTTGTCATAGCCAGAACCTGGAAACAACCTAAATGCCCCTCAACTAAAGAGTAGATAAGGAAAATCTTTACACAGCAGAAAAAAATAACGACATTTTGAATTTTGCAGGAAAATGGATGGAGTTAGAAGCATTATTTTGAATGATGTAATCAAGACACAGAAAGACAATTATCATATGTCCTCATTCATAAGTGGTTTTTAAACATAAAGGAAAGAAAACCAGCCTACAAATCCCAACCCCAAAGAATTTAGACAACAATGAGAACACTAAGAAAGACTTACGTAGATCTAATCTACATGGGGAGTAGAAAAAAGACAAGATCTCCTGAGTAAATTGGGAGCATGGGAACCTTGGGGGAGGGTTGAAGGGGAAGGGGAGAAGCAGGAAGGGGAGCGGAGAGAAAAATATAGAGCTCAATAAAAATCAATAAAGAAATTTCAAAAAAATCCTAAGCATTTAGGACAGAGTTCCAGAGCATTCCAGGGACACGTACTTCTCAAATTTCATTTTGGATAGAGATCACTTAATCACAGGCCTCTGAAGAAAATTACTCTAGGCTTCACTTGGGCACCTGTGTCAGCTCGAAGCAAATTTATTTGGCCTTAGATGAAATTTGGAGTTAGAGTGCTAGCATTCATGAAACCCTGACTTTAATCTCCAATGCTGTAGAAATAAATAAACATGGATCAATAGAAGACCTATGACTTCACATTTATATCTCCATACAGATTTTATCAAATAATATTTTGTCAATAAAATATCACAATCTATCTCTGCATCACAGCGAGGTGGAAATTTTGGGCCTCTGTATGATCTAGTTGGTTCTGGCTAGTTTTACATCAACTTGACACAAGATAGATCCAGAGGAGAGAAAAGAGCAACAGCTGAGAAAATACCCCCAAAAGATCTGGCTGTAGGAGGCCTGTGTAGCATTTTCTTAATTAGTGGTTAATGGGGCAGGGCCCAAGCCCACTGTGGGTGAGGCCACCCCTGGGCTGGTGGTCTTGGGTTTTATAAGAAAGCAGGCTGAGCAAGATGAGAATCAAGCCAGGATGCAAGACTTCTCAATGGCTTCTGCTTAGCTCCCTCCTCAATGTTCCTGCCCTGCATGTCTTTCTGTCCTGGTTTTCTTCAATAACAAACTGTGATTTGGATGAGTAAGTCAAATAAACCCTTTCCTCCCCATGTTGCTTTGGTCCTAATGTTTCATCAGAGCAATAATAATCTTAACTAAGATAGAATTCCAAGTTGACCTTGTCAGGATATAATACCCAAAGCCCAGGCCCTCCTGATAAGAGACGTTTTAGGCCTTTCACATAAGAAATTGAATAAAGGACTCATAGGCAATTCCCACATGCCAAGAACACAACATTAAATATTCATTTGTCCTCTGAAGGCTATAAATGCGTTCTATTTCCTCACGTGTATTCCTGCTATAAGATTGGAAATGTGCTAGCTGAATTGGTGGATGTGAACATCCTGACCCAAAGTCATCGCAGACAGGTTTTCAATTTTGAAGATGTATTGAAATTGGCCAATAGGATTAGCCAACTAAATTTTACCTTTAAAAAAATGTCAACTGGTCCTAGTAATGTGTTCGCTTTGGTTTTAAGAATCTCCAGAGGCCTGAAATCTTCACCCTTCTTTTTAGGAGAGGTTCCCCTCATTGACCCCCGGCAATGATAATGATGCCACAGGCAGCCTTCCCCATCAGAGTATAAATGACATCTAATGCTTCAGAGCAGAAAGAACTTCTAGGCACTGAAATAGTTACAACCATTAAATTCTCTCTAAGCATGGAAACCAGCCAAAACAATCTAATAACTGAACACAAAACTTCTATAATCAACCATTTAAACAAAATAATATATCGATCTCTTTACTTCTCAATAGTCAGCTTTGGGCTCAAATATCTGGAAAAGCGATCAATACAATTTAAGATCACCAAGGCCTAGAATATGGTCTCTGCAATTAGGAATTCCCTAGTCCTATCCCTGTTGATAATCCATAGCCTTTTCACCCAGATGTTGTCCTTACAAGATCTCCTGACATTCCTAATTCTGGGAGTCATCTCAGAAAGATAAGTCTAGCTATCTTCTATGAAATATTTGTTTGCTCACCTATCAGAGAATAAATAAAGTCTCTTGAAATAGTTCTCTGGCTGCCACTAGGTTAAGATTCTGTTTAGAGTGTATCCTTCTGGCACAATTTTCCTTGGTCAACTCTACAGGTATACGATGGCTGAGAATTAATATGACCAGCTGACATTCTTTAAAGGTAAAATTCAATTGGTTGATCCTATTGGCTAATTTTGATAATTCTTCAAAATTGAAATTCTTTCTGCAGTGACTTTAGGTCAAGATGTTCACAACTATAAATTTGGCTAGCACTCTTCCAATCTTAGAGCAAGAAACACATTAGAAATATGAAGCATTTATAGCCTTCAGAGGCAAAATGAGTATTTAATATAAATCACTGGAATCACCAGTCTAAAATACAAAACAATGTTTTTCATAGATAACTAATGATATTAATTTTGTGGTAATGTATGAGTCACATTTTTTCTAACTTTTTTCAAGCTATAAAGCAGAAAATTTAGTTCCAGTGCCATAAACTATGAAATCAGAGTGAATTAATTCTAGAAATAATAATTAATAATAGGGAAAGCTGGTTAGCCCATAAAATATTCATTTGCTAAAATGTCACTTAGATGATAGCATACGCATTCTCCCTTTTAAGCAAGGCTCCACTCATGGTCACTGATTAAAAACAATGGACAAGAACTCTTGAAATCGCAGGCTAGCTCTGGACAGA